AAAAAAAAAAAAAAAAAAAAAAAAAATCGATATTTGCATGGTAAAGACTGAAACATAAAAAAGCATTCAAAATTTAAGTGGTAAAAGTTAAAGGCAAAGATGAAATATATACCACCATTAAACTAAATTATGAGCAGAAACCACTGCTGTTAGTTTGGCCATTACACTTTGTACGCGCCAACCTAAATCCTTGAATTCCAAACGGCACCAACTATTAGCATCTCTACTCCTAATCTTGTTGCTCCTAAAATTTGTAGTCACCTTTCTTACTCAAGTGGCCCCTTCGCAAATATTTACATCTACTCCATAATGAATTCTAAAATTAAAATTTTCAACCTATATTATAGAAATTAGAAAAATGACACAAAAAAAAAAAAAGCCAAACTATTCTTCATCATAATCCTCATACTCGTCATCCATCCCCCCATTAAAACTCGCCAGCTGAATCGGGTCCACAGCCATTCTTTCCATGTCGTCCATCGACCAACCAGGAATATCTTCGTGTTTCTCTTTAGGACCAGGCTTCGATGACGAATCGCAAGGGGCTCGACCGGCCACTGCCTGAGAGGAATCCCCGTTCTCGTTGAACTCGATGTTGAGGTCAAAATTTCTAACCGATTTGATATCCGCATCTATTCCACTACTGTTGGGCCTTGTTATGGGATCCTGTTTCGGGTTCTCATCACACGGGAAAGAGTTGTCTGGATAATCTTCGTATTTTTCGTGCTCAGCATTAGATTCTCTCTCCAGGGCTCGTCTGCCCCGTCCCCGACCCCTGCCACGACCCCTGCCACGGCCTCCTCTGCCTCTCCCACTACTGCTGATGTGAACAGTGGTCTCATGCTGCCAAAGGATTCCGCTCAACAGGGTTTTTGTAAATTGTTAAAAACTAGTAAAATATATGCACAAGCTCAAAAAGAACTGATTTTTTTTTTTTTTTCTTCTTCTAAAAGCATGTATGCTTGCACGATGAATGTTTGCGCAAGAATGAATTTGTGAGCATAAACTTAGCTGCTTACCGTTGTTACAGTTCTTTTGGGCTCATCATCATTTCCATCTTCATCTTCGGATATCTTCCTACATTGAACACATAAATTAATTCCAAAGTTGTTGATCTTTATTTTCTAACTTTGAATAAGAAATCAAGTTGTGACAATTATTTCATCAAAAACCTTCTTTTGGTGGCAGATTTATCCTCTGCAACAGCATCCGAACCACCCAAATCAGGTACCTTACTGACCGTGTCCTTCAAGAAATCAAACACATTATAGCTCTGTACACATTGCTTCCTGCAAGTTGAAGGTGGCATAACGCTTGTAAGAGCTCCCGTTGAATAATCAATTATAGGAGCTGAAAAGGGATTTAGGAGAGCACGAATTAACAAACAACCAAATTCCTGAAGGAACTTACAAATGCAAAGAATTTAGAGTCTTTGCTCCCTTTTTAAGAGTAATCTCATACGTCCGGTCACATAGATCTTGTAGAAATAATTCCAGAGCTTTTGCTGCATACACATAATTTTATATCATCGAACATACCACGGACCGAATATATCAACTAAAAAAAAGGAGCCAGATGGAATACCATCTAGATAATTCAAATTACATACACACTAAAAGAGGTACAGCCATGGCAATCTTTCCTACATCCTCGTCGGCTTGCATAATCTTTTTAATCCGAGCCTGCGAAAAAATCGGAATATTTCAATCATATCCCAAGACAAAGCCACAAGGCCCATTCACCACTAACTTATGATTAAGCCAAGTTCAAATATTCAATCTACAACTTGACTGTAAATTTCTAATTTTTACAAGCCCATTTACTCCAATACCCAAGTAGAAAAAAAAAAA